TATTGTGAAATTGCTTTGAGGTGCTTTTACAGGAAGTGATTCATAAATGAAAACAACAATAATAACTCTGGAGAGGCACAAGAGCCCTGTCCTCTCTTGCATCTGGCCACTCTTGCTGAAGCTGATGTGCATGAACACAGAAGGATGGATAGCCTTGCATCAAATATTCTGCCTCCCTCTTCGCTTTGTGCCTCCATAGATCGACAGTCCTTAATAAGTCTTTAGTGTGTGCCTTTGTAAGGCGTTTGGAGTTCATTCATTTTGTTTTCATAGAACAATTGACCATTTAACTCATGGGTAGGCAAACTAAGGCCCGGGGGCCGGATCTGGCCCAATCGCCTTCTCAATCCGGCCCGCAGACGATTCGGGAATGAGCGTGTTTTTACATGAGTAGAATGTGTCCTTTTATTTAAAATGCATCTCTGGGTTATTTGTGGGGCCTGCTTGGTAAAAATGCATCTCTGGGTTATTTGTGGGGCATAGAAATTCGTTCATTCCTCCCCCTCCAAAATATAGTCTGGCCCCCCACAAGGTCTGAGGGACAGTGGACCGGCCCCCTGCTGAAAAAGTTTGCTGACCCCTGATTTAACTGGTAACATGGTGTCTCTCCCCTCCCTTCTTCTTCAATTTCAGAAGCAAATGAGGATATAAAAGACAGGAGTGGTGGAGTGGTTAAGAGACAGTGGTCAAGCTGGGAAGCTCAACAGGTAAGTCTCGGATTTTCTGCTTTCAGAAATGTACTTTATATTAAAACTAGGCTTGGGCCTAGTGGGAAAACCCCAAATATTGGAGCACCTATCTCTTCAAGAAGAAAAACCCAGCCATTTTAAATTCCATGTGCCTTATTGAAAACAGCCCATTGCTTAACAGTGAAAATGAGAATGTGGGGGTAGATGGTCAAGGGAACAAGAATGAACCAGGCAAGTGGAAATTATAGATGTGAGATTAGGTTCCATTCTGCATGTTTTGAATGTAAGCTGTTACACAAGGAAGTCACAAAGGTTCGGGGCTTGATCTTGTGCAATCCTTTGTTGAGATCTTGTTGTCCGTGTTTGGTTGTGTGGCTCATGGGAACATTTTTCTTTCCTTCCATGGTACAGATTTCCTCTGAACTTCTTCTAAGCACACACAAAAAAGGATGTTTATTAAAGGCTGAAAATGTATGCTTTGACTTCATTGACTTTCAGTTCAAGATTTTAGCATGCTTTTGGATCAGCTGCTTCCTTCATGCGTTGGCTGGATGTAAAAACAGCTATAGGAGGAACTCAGCTGGCTATAATTTGGAAGGGAAATGACCTCTATTGCACCTGTTCTACCTCATTCAGATTTTCACGTATCAGTCTCGTTTTTAGTTGTCATGGGTATGTATACTTCTTTTGCTTAGCTCATGCTTCCTGAAATATGAAACATAATCTACCAAGTCTGGTCTTCAGATGCAGCAAGAGGTACCTGATTTGTCTCCTGGAGCTGAGGTTCCCAGGAAATATAGAGAAACAGGGTCCTCTCAGGCTGGCTGATGGTGCAGGTTCCCTGGCTTGGTCTTCCTCACTTCTGCCTTCTGTCCAGGGTACATGGGTCCTTCTTAAGCAGCTGCAGGGGAGATGGGGTAGAGGGTACCCAAGCATTTTCTCAGACCATGGATGGTTCCATCAGGAGTTGACAGTGTGCAGCATTTAGGGGACTCTGGTCCATGAAAGCTTATGCCGCATTAAATTTGATAGCTTCTTGAGACTGAGGTGCCACAAGACTCTTTGTTCTCCTTGTTTTTATAGTGGAGGGAAGGGAGTAAGCTGTTTTGTGTGGCTGGTGGCACACAAGGAAGCAGGCAATCCATTCTAGCAGGCACCCTTTTCAAAATGCATTGGACAATGGTGCGAATGCCCAAGAAAGCCATTTCCCAATGATAATTGAAATCTTAGCCATTTCAGAATGATTTGCCCATCAATTCTGTTTGTTTCACTGTCTGTGCCTGTGCGTGCAAATTGTGGAGAACGCTCTCAAACGTATATAATTTTCATATAATCCTGTACATCTGCAATTTAGCTTCTAATTTGTTTCTTTGTAGTATTAAGCAGAGACAGTGGTTTATTTTTTAATGACATAAAAAAAGGTTTTCTCTCCAGGGGTTTTGACCCGTGTGGCAGAAAGAGCTTGTGTTTCTTTTTCATCATCAAGACAAAGACTGAATTCTTTCTTTTTGTTAAAAAAAAATATGAAGTGATTAAAGAGAAGAATGTTTCCCCTGAGATAAGATACATTCTTTGTTTTTTCTTCTTCCTTGTTTTCTTTCTCTCATCTGTATGTCATTTCTCTTTGTCCTCCCACCCCACCCCCAGTGTGGACGCCTCCATTTTAGGATGCTTACCACCGTGGTTATAAATATAGGAGTAACATATTGCGATCAGGATCAGGACACATAGAATTAGTCATATTATTCTGCTTACCATATAAAGACTCAGGAACTCAGAAAGAGAACAAAATCTAAGACAGGAATACAATGTTATGCCATCAGCATGGCTAGAGCTGGGATAGAGAAATTGTAGCCTTCCAGATGTTGTTGGCTACAACTCCCATCATTCCTGACCATTGACCATGCTGGTTCAGGCTTTGGGCCAACTGGAAATATTTTGATGAATGAGGTGAAGGACAATATAGTGTGTGTCCTCCCAGCTCATCCGTTTCCCATACAGAAGCCTTATGTTTGTATAAGAAAGGACTATCTAATGTAGCTCTTTGCTGGAGATGTGATATGGACAATGCTTCTTTGAAACATATGCTTCTACTGTGTCCCACACTTGCTAAGTTTTGGGAGAAAGTGATGGACTATAGAAACAAGACACTATGGGAAAAGTTAAGATTTTCAGAGGTGACTATGCTCTTGAACTATATACCCATTGTATGGAAACTGTCGACAGGATGGCGAAAATGGATTCTACACACCCTAATGGTGGCCAAGAGACTGATACTGATGAATGGGAAGAATAGAGATACAATTCTTCTTAATCAATGGTTTGACAAAATGACAATATTGGCAACGCATATGAATGGGCAGCTTATGGACACAGACTTTCTTTGGATAAATACAATGATATTTGGAATGAGTTTATTAGGTTATTGACTTAATAAGAATAAGAATATACACATCTGAGGTCCAGCGCCGAGGGCCTTCTGGCAGTTCCCTCACTGCGAGAAGTGAAGTTACAGGGAACCAGGCAGAGGGCCTTCTCGATGGTGACACCCGCCCTGTGGAACACCCTCCCATCATATGTCAAAGGAAGAAACAACTACCAGATTTTTAGAAGACATCTGAAGGCAGCCCTGTTTAGGGAAGCTTTTAATATCTGAAGGACTATTGTAGTTTAATATTTTGTTGGAAGCCGCCCAGAGTGGCTGAGGAAACACAGCCAGATGGGTGGAGTATAAATAATAAATAATATATTATTATTATTTATTATTATTATTAGTCCTTACTCACTTTTTCTCTTTCTCTCCCCACCCCCTCTCTCTTTTTCTAATAAAATATTAATATACAGAAGCCAACTGGAGTGGCAGTTAGATCTTACTTCAGCCCTGGCAACAGTATTGTGTCCTCCACTACCACCAAGGGCTCCAGACTAGTTAGGCAAATCAGGCAATGTGGCACACACTGCTCTAACTGAAGGATACAGCTGGGACTTGGGAGCAGCAGCATTTGCCACCTGATGCAGTTGCCTTGCTGTCTAATGGTAGGGCTGGCCTCCTGGAGCTGATGTGAGTTGCGAGTCCAGAAAGATCTGAAGGGCCACAAGTTCTTTGTCCTAAGCTGGAGTCATCAAGGTCATGGAGCAGATACTGCACCTCCCAAGTGTGTTGCACCCTTAACCATCCATGGACCAAACTAAGGCATCTTCGGAGGGGATACTTTAGTTATGAGGGCACCACCTGCCTTCCATAGTTGATATCAAGGGGGCAGATGGTACAGCTGTTGCACGTGTTCAGATGTGGATGCACAGACACACATGGGGCCTTGGCAATATAATATAAAAACCCTCCAACTATCCACCCATCTGTTGTTAACATCCCTCCAGCATTGGCATCCACCAACATTTCCTTGCTAGCAACATAAGATACAGTTTCAGTGGCTCGTGACTAGTTCTTGTGTTCAGACGGAGCCTCGTCTCAGAAGAGATTGCCCTATTGCTCATCCTTCTCTTGCCCGTCTCATGGGATCATGGCAACAGGCAAGGAAACATTTGCTTGCATTCTTGTTTTTTGTTCTGCATCATGCTTACTTGCTGTAGCATTCCGAATCTCTTGGACAACGTATTCGCATCAGTGAGTTATCTTTCATTTTATTTTTTTCACCGGCTTCAGCTCTAGAAATTTTTGTAGTGGAGCCATATCAATGCTTGTTGCATCAAAAGTAGAGGATTACCACTGCTGAACACTCTGTGTCAAGATGCTGTTGTGAGGATCAGAAGCAGCTGGTGCCTAGCGGATGATAGTTTTATCCACTTTAAGCCCTACCAAGGGTTTACCATATGGCTAGGCCTATGCTATAGCATACTTTGCATAATGGTTAATCCAACCTTTCCTTCTGCCCCCTGCCCCTTTTTGCAGCAAGAAATACATTGCTCCTTTATCTCTGAAGTAGACCAGCCTAAATTTCTCCTCCTTCCTTAACTCTTAAACCTCACATTCTGCTCCTCATAGGAAGGGATCCAGGGGTCATCCAGTCCAACCCCCTGCAATCCAGGAATCTCAGCTATAGCATCCATAACAGATGACCATCCAATCTCCGCTTAAAAACCGCCCAAGGAAGGAGAGTCCACAACCTCCCAAGGGAGACTGTTCCACTGCCGAACAGTTCTTACTGTCAGAAAGTTTTTCTGTATGTTTGGTCAGAATCTCTTGAAGTCATTGGTTCGAGTCCTACCCTCCAGAGCAGGAGAAAACAGGCTTGCGCTCCTCTTCCTCCTTGATTTTTAAAAGGGAGGATGATCCCTCCACTTCTCTTTAACATGAGAGCAGCCTTGCTAGATCAGTCCAATGATCCATCTGTCACGGCTAAAAATTGGCCGCTGTTTCTTTAATGCTAAAAGAACTAAGTCAGCATGAGTCAGCGGCCTACAATGACTCATGCAACCTTTCACCAAATTGTACCTGTATATATAGAGTGGTCAGTGTTAGTGTTGGGTGTGGGTTGGTTGGATGGTAGAAAGCTGGTTGTGTTTGGTGTGTATAAAAACTGTCGGTCGTGGTTGGAGAAGAAGATTTTTAAAGAATAAAAGCAGCAATGTTCTGCAGGAATATTCTTTCTCAAAGACTTGTTGTTGTTGTTGTTTAGTCGTTTAGTCGTGTCCGACTCTTCGTGACCCCATGGACCAGAGCACGCCAGGTCCTCCTGTCTTTCACTGCCTCCTGCAGTTTGGTAAAACTCATGTTTGTATCTTCGAGAACACTGTCCAACCATCTCGTCCTCTGTCGTCCCCTTCTCTTTGTGCCCTCAATCTTTCCCAACATCAGGGTCTTTTCCATGGAGTCTTCTCTTCTCAGGAGGTGGCCAAAGTACTGGAGTCTCAGCTTCAGGATCTGTCCTTCCAGTGAGCACTCAGGGCTGATTTCCTTCAGAATGGATACGTTTGATCTTCTTGCAGTCCATGGGACTCTCAAGAGTCTCCTCCAGCACCATAATTCAAAAGCATCAATTCTTTGGCGATCAGCCTTCCTTATGGTCCAGCTCTCACTTCCACATATCACTACTGGGAAAACCATAGCTTTAACTATATGGACCTTTGTTGGCAAGGTGGTGTCTCTGCTTTTTAAGATGCTGCCTAGGTTTGTCATTGCTTTTCTCCCAAGAAGCAGGCGTCTTTTAATTTCGTGACTGCTGTCACCATCTGCAGTGATCATGGAGCCCAAGAAAGTAAAATCTCTCACTGCCTCCATTTCTTTTCCTTCTATTTGCCAGGAGGTGATGGGCCCAGTGGCCATGATCTTCGTTTTTTTGATGTTGAGCTTCAGACCATATTTTGTGCTCTCCTCTTTCACCCTCATTAAGAGGTTCTTTAATTCCTCCTCACTTTCTGCCATCAAGGTTGTGTCATCTGCATATCTGAGGTTGTTGATATTTCTTCCGGCAATCTTAATTCCAGCTTGGGATTCATCCAGACCAGCCTTTCGCATGATGAATTCTGCATATAAGTTGTGCCGACTAAGGTCTGAGGACTAGGCAAATGAGTGAAAAGGAGGTCAGAACCTTTTCTTTTTCAAACACTGTCACCATCTAGCCTGGCATCCTGTTCTCACAGTGGCCAACCAGATGCCCTGGGAAACCCTCATGCAGGGCCCAGCCATAAAAGCCCTCTTGCCTCCTGTGCTCTCCAGCAGCTAGTATTCAGAAGCATCGTTGCCTCCAACCATGGAGGCAGGCGTGGCTACCAGGCTTAGTAGCCATTGATGAGTTGTGTTGTATTTCCAGAGAGGCAGGAATTCACAGGCCATATGCACACAAAATGTGCCACCACACTTAATGACTGTGTCAGTGCTGGGTAGGATATAGTCTTCTTCTTTGGCGATCACTCGTAGCTGAATAAGATTGTCTTCCATAAACACGTTTTTAATAGTGAGTCAGTAAGTGACTGTGGAGGCCAATTCTGGATCCCCACGCCCTTCCACAGTGGGGACATTGGTTTCCGAGCGGGAGTTGATCACGGTGTGGATTTGCCAAACGTGCCTTCCTCTTAGCACGTTTCTCCCTTGCATCCTGAGTCTGAGTGTCTTCAAAGCCCATGACACCTTTGGTAAAGGCTGTTCTCCAACTGGAGTGTTCGCAGGCCAGTGTTTCCCAGTTTTCAGTGTTTATACTACATTTTTTTAAAGATTTGCCTCGAGGCAGTCTTTCAACCTCTTTTGTTGACCACCAGCATTACGCTTTCCATTTTTAAGTTTGGAATAGAGTATTTGCTTTGGAAGACGATCATCAGGCATCCGCACAACATGACCATTCTAACGAAGTTGATGTTGATGAATCATTGCTTCAACACTCGTGATCTTTGCTTCTTCCAGTACACTGATATTAGTTTGCCTGTCTTCCCAAGTGATATGTAAAAATTTTCAGAGACACTGTTGATGGAATCTTTCGAGGAGTTGGAGATGGCGTTTATAAGTGGCCCATGTTTCACAAGCATACAGTAAGGTTGGTAGTACAATAGTTTCCCTATACAGGGCTGCCATCTTCTAAAGGCTGTATCTCCTTGGCTCAGGGGTCGCATAACTCCATAAATCTCCAACATTCCTCCAATAAAAATAGGGACATCCTAAGGGAAAGCGGGAAAGTCCAGGATCAAATCAGAAACTGGGATGGCTTCTATAAATCTGGGACTGTCCCCAGAAAATAGGGACACTTGGAGGATCTGTGACCTCTACCTCTGCTGAAGCCACATGGATGCTGGTGCCAGGAGGTCAGATAGCCACTGCTGGCCTGATGACTGCTACTGATGACACCCCCTCCAATGCTATGGACAGAAGCTGACCAGACTAATTCCAACCATGGAGAAAGAGCATAACCATCATTGCTAGCAGCCATTGAGAACCTTGGCCTCCATGAATGTGTTCAGTCCTCTTTCAAAGCTATCCAAGTTGGTCCCATGGGAGCTTTGCATACAGAAGGTCACAGGTTCAATCCAGGTAGTGCTGGGAAAGATTCCTTATCTGCAATCCCGGAGAGCTGCTGCCAGTCAGTGTTGACATTATTGAGTTAGATGGACAATGATCTGACAGTATAAGGCAATTTCTTGTGCTGGAGTGAAATGAAGTAAATTAGAGGTGGAGCCGCTTAAGATCACAGGTGGCTACTTAGAAAAGGTAAAAGCCTTTAAATATCTAGGATTAATATTCACCTATAATCTCTCCTGGACCACCCATCTACAATCTGCCTTTCTCGCTGCAACCACGACCTCTAACGCCATTGTCCGATTTTACCACCAGAAGGGCGGCAAACACCTTCCAGCAGCAATTCAAATATTTAATGCCAAAGTCGTCCCTAAATTATTATATGGATGTGAAGTATGGACTACAGCAATATCAGGTAACCTGGATCGTCCACTTCATATGTTTCTGAGATCTCTTTCCGGCGTCCCGAGATGTGTCTCAGGTGCAGCCCTACGACTCGAGTTCGCCCAGCCTTCAATTGCTAGACGAGCATGGAGCCGAGCCATTTCCTACACCCCCACCTATTAGCATCGGATGCTCGAATTAGAGGTGGCTTTTCCAATCTGATCCTAAGAGATAGTCATAATTCCCTTGGAAAACTACAATTAACCTCAAACTCCGCTCTCTTCTCAATTTGAATTGTAAAACTGTTCTTAACTTAGAGTGTATCAGCCCGGTGGCCCTACCCCTAATTAAAAAGAAACTACAGCAACTTGACTTCTCCAACACAGCTTCTTGTGCAAGAGGACCGTGTTCAGGCCTAGCCCTAGCTATTCCACCCCTGAAGGGATCCCTCTATACTGCTTCACAATTTCTTCGGAGACTAAGCGAAGGGCTTTACCTGTGCCCGTCTCAACTGTTTTCCTACAGCAGTTCTGTCGGGTCGTTATTCCAGAGTTCCCATCGCAAACAGAACATGCTCCTGTAATGACACGGCCCTGGAGACTATGGAACATGTAATGCTCTTCTGTCCCAACTGGACAGATGAAAGATCTCGGTTTTTAACTCCCTCGTGAATAAGTTCCATCTCCCAATCCAGCCTTGGATAGTGTCCCTCTTTTGCAGGATTCTGATTGTTGGATTACTGAGATGACAGCTAACTTCCTGCTTAGTGTGATGAAGAGGAAAGCGGCACTAACTTCTTCCTTAACACCACAGATGCAGTCGATACGCCGCACAACCGAACGAAGTTCCAAGTAGCCTTATTGTACAAGGACAATCGAGTTAGGACTAATCTGAGGAGCTGAAGGACCCTTCAACGGTCCTCCTCCAGCCTCAGCAGCTTCTGTTTTTTTTTTTTTTTTTTTTCACTTTCTCTAAGTATTCGCCCAGGACGATGTCTACCTCTACCTCCCCACCCCCATTTTATGTTGTTATTTCAATGTATATCATGCTATGGCCACTCGGCTAATGCAATAAATAAATAAAAAAAAAAAAATTAGAGGTGGTTTGGAAGAATATTCTCCATATATATAAAAACTTGGAATAACTTTTCCCTTAACTTGAATATTATAGTCTCATTGGTGATAATCTCACTTTCCATTCAAATAACTGGAGAGCCTATATATATATATAATATGTTACGCTGTTATTTCCTTTGAAGTTAAGGTCAGGCTGTTCCTGTCCTTTTCCCCCTGCCTCTGGCAAATCCTTGCCTGCTTAGAGGATGATCCTTCATATTTTTAATAACTTCTGATATATATATAAATAATGGCAACTCAAGAGATCAGCTTACTCTTTGGCCATGGGAAAAAAATCCTCCTCTATTTCTTATTCCACACCCCCCCACGTCTCTCAAATGTGGTTATTCACATTGTTAAAAGGACCAGTTACCCCCGCCCCCCATCTGAAATCCAAAGAATGAAGTGTGAATCTTACAGTTTTGCTTTGTAAGTCATTGGGGGTGGGGGAGATTGGAAGAGAAATGTAATTTTTAAAAATAAATAAATAAATACCAAGACTCCTTGGATTCTAGTGCTATGAGTGAAGGGGAGAGAATAACTTTTTTCTATCCACTTTCTCCCCTCCGTCTATCATGATTCCACTTCCCTTACTCACCATTTGTTCTCTAAAATCAATCCTTGACAAGGCCAGGTGGGGTCAGGAGAAACACCTTTCAAATTTTGCTTTGCGGTTCTCCAGCCAAGTATTGTGTAGAAAATTGTATATACTGGGTTTGTTGGCAGCCGTCTGTCTCGGAGACAATGGAGGAGTGTACCTTTGGGGGCAAAGTCAAACTGTTGGAAGGTTACAGCGCCTGCTGTGGCTGTAGAGGTTGATAAGGGAGAGACATGTTTTGTTGCAGCTGGGGCAGAGGAAGGCGCCCAGTTGTGCTGCTGCAGATGCCCCATGGTGTTACTTCTCTCTGTGCTCCTCCCAGCGGTCATTCCTCCTCTGGTCTCTGCTATGGCTACACAACTTCACTGTCTGTCTCCAGGCATTGCGGTCATCTGAAAGGGATTCCTTTTTTTAAAAAAATTTTATTAGATTTTCCACAATAATAACAAAAACCACAAAGCAGAATGATACACAAAAACAGAACAAAAGAAAAATACATCAATGAACGGAAAAAGGGGAGGGGAAGGAACAATAAACAGATAAACAATAACAACAAACTTAATTCTTTACAAATCCAACCTTTTAAACATCTTGGTTGACTTCCTCTAGTCCCTCCCTTCTGAGTTTCCTTGTAGTTGAAGGTAACAGCTTTCCAATATCATTATTAAACTAAAACAATTTCCAATTATAGTCCATCTTGTTCACATTTCTTAATATTCTAAATCCCATTTAGTTAATTATAATTTAGTTTAATCCTAGGCCTATTTGTTTCTTTCAAGTAATTTCTATTTTTGTATATTACAATATTCGTTCAAATAGTCCTTAAATTTCCTCCAGTCCTCTTGAAACTCCTCTTCTTTCTGGTCGCGGATTCTTCCAGTCAGGTCAGCTAGCTCCGAAAAGTCCATCATCTTCATCTGCCAATCTTCCATCAAGGGATTCCTTGATGCTACCGGCCTTCATGTCACTTTTGCAGACACCTTTTTAAAGCAGAGTTGGTCTGCCAACGGGCCTGGTTCCTGAAGCCAGCTCCCCATAGAGCGTTTCCTTGGGGATTTTGCCACCTTCCATTCTGGAATGACCAAGCCAGCATAGACATCGCCGAGACAGGAGTGTGAACATGCTAGGAATGTGGGTTTGGAAGAGCACAAATTTGTTGAGACTCTGTCCTGCCACGTGATGCCCAAAATCTTCCTGATGCAATGCCTTATTTTAGGGGAAATTGCTTTAGGGAAAGAAATTTGCACAAGAACACTGGTGAGCTTTCACAAAGACTTGCTTCTTTTTCATTGCAAACTGATGTGGAAAACTGAATTCAGGATTGGGAAAAGGAGAAGTTGAGAGAAATTGAAATTGCCAGATTCCTCTTTCCCTACACAGGGTCGCCCTCAGCACCAGAGAGTCTGCCCACGGTAAGAGTTGGACCATGGGTAGGCAAACTAAGGCCCGGAGGCCGGATCCAGCCCAGTCACCTTCTCAATCCAGCCCACGGACGGTCCGGGAATCAGTGTGTTTTTACATGAGTAGAATGTGTCCTTTTATTTAAAATGCATCTGTGGGTTATTTGTGGGGCCTGCCTGGTGTTTTTACATGAGTAGAATGTGTCCTTTTATTTAAAATGCATCTCTGGGTTATTTGTGGGGCATAGGAATTTGTTCATTTTTCTTCAAAATATAGTCCGGCCCCCCACAAGGTCTGAGGGACAGTGGACCGGCCCCCTGCTGAAAACGTTTGCTGACCCCTGAGCTGGACCATGTAGTCTCCCTCCATTCTATGTTCTCCTTCTTGGTCTGTGGTTCCATTTCTTTTTGGACCGCAGGGAAGCTAGAGAGAGAGAGAGAGAGAGAGAGAGAGAGAGAGAGATTGTCTTCATACTAACAAGAGAGAGCTGGCAGCATAATTCCTGAGGCTTTGCACAAACTGAAGAGATTTCAGTATTCTTTCTTTTCCTTCCTTTCTTTTTTCTTTTTGTAAAGAACACATCTATTGTGAACACAATTATAAGCTTTCCTGCTTAAATCTGACCCATCAGAAAGACGTGCTGCCACCAGTATCATTAGCAAGTAAAGTGTTGATAACACTAGTCAAACGCACAGCAGACTCCTGGCTCTTTCAGCGTCTGGACTAGCTCCCAATATTAGGAACAGGGCCCCGGCTGCCGTCACTTCTCCTGTGCTAACATACGCCCTGCCATTAGCAGTCTGAAGGCAATTTTAATAAAATACATAGGCCTGCCGAGTTGGCCTCGGAAGATAAATAAGCAATGCGGAAAAGAAGCTTTTGTTTAAAAGTAATTATTTAAACTATGTATTACAGGTAATTTCCCTCCACCAGTAAAGCAAAATGCTATCAGAATTTCAATAATGTTTTGTGTGTGTGCGTGTTGCTTATCTAGATAACACGATATTGTCATTTCAGGGAGCTTAAAATGGCTGTTTTATTTCCATTTCTGTCAAATGGGAGGCTAAATAGGGCCTGAACACACATTTAAACATCATTTGTTTGTTAAATTCTGGGGTGGACGGTTCTGTTTTCCTGATCCTTTTTATGGTAATGCAATGATGGTTGTTTCATAAGCCTTTGAGTTGGTTTATGAGGCCAGGGGAGAAGTGTTGGCCAAAAGAGCAGCTCCCCCCCCCACCCTTCACATCGCACAGGCATAACACCTTCAGGTTTAATAAAAATATCATTAAAGAATTTTATCTTGTAGTAAAGTCCAGTCACGGGGGTACTTTAAAGAGTCGGTTTATATACTGGGAAGCCACAGAAACAATCATTTCTCTTGATTGCGTTCCTCTCCTCTAAAGAAACAAATATTTCTTCCCAAAGTCAGGTGAAGACGTGGCTTTATTTCCCCCATTCTATCCACATGCCCTGCAGGGGCTGACAAACTTTTGCAGCTGAAGGCCTCATTTCCTTCCAGGCTATTTTTTGGGGAGGCTACATGCCTGGGCTTTGAACTTCTGGGGAGGCCTTTCTCTCAGTCCTGCCACTTTCTCAAGGACTTTTGGTGGAGACATGGGAGAGGGCCTTCTTGGTGGCTGCTCCCAAATTGTGGAACTCCCTCTTATGGCAGGCGGGAGTGTTGGTTTAGGACCTGGGAGACCAGGGTTCAAATTCTTGGGCCAGTCACTGTCTCTCAGCCTAAACTACCTCACAGGGTTGTTGTAAGAACACAATGGGCAGGGGATCATTATGTAAATCTCTCAAGCTTCGTGGAATCGGCTTTCTCCCCCTGTGGCAGTAGAAAAGGAGATCAAATCAAAGGAACATCTTACCAGTTAGAATCTTTAATAATCACAGCGAGAGAACAAAGAACCCGTCTCCTAGAAATGGCGGTGCTCTCAAGTAAGGTTTACACCCCTTCCATCCCTATTAATCTACGTCACTCCTACATCTTGTAATCTGAGTTTGTACCCTCTGCGCTTTCTGTTCCAAGACTTTCTGAGCTCTTTGTGACTTTGGGGAGGGTTGTGGAGGAATGCTTTCCAGAGACTGTGCATCTGTTAACCCTCTCTCTTCTAGTGTTTCTTCTCCTAGCTGTTCATCACCCAGTATTTCCCAGCTTCTGCCTTCTGAACTATGCCCCTCTGCAAAACACTGTTCCAAATCTATACTGTCTTTCTGCTCCTGGGAAGATTCAGGATCAGGGGGAGGGGGTGGCTCTTACCATTCCTCTTCAGTCCTGCCCTCCTCAGCATGGTCCCTGACAACATCACTTTGAACTCCTTGGAGGGAAAGGTGGCATATCAATGTAAAAAATAAACAAATAAATAAATAAAGCCAGTGGCAGAGACGACCCCTTTGTCAGCCTACTGCATTGACACATCCACTGGTGGAAAGCAGATTGATTTTTTTAAATCTAAAATTCCCATGTGGCTGAGCCCTCAGAACTATACTAGCTGCCATATATTGGATGGGACCATGGCTCCATGGTACAGCATCTACTGTGCATGCAGAAAGTCCACAGGTTCAAACCCCAGCATCTCTAGGTAGGGCTGGGAGAGGGATTTGGTGCGGACCTTTAAAGCCCTTAACAGCCTTGGCCCAGTATACCTGAAGGAGCATCTCCACCCCTATCGTTCTGCCCGGACACTGAGGTCCAGCTCCGAGGGCCTTCTGGTGATTCCCTCACTATGAGAAGTGAGGTTACAGGGAACCAGGCAGAGGGCCTTCTCGGTAGTGGCACCCTCCCATCAGATGTCAAGGAAATAAACAACTATCTGACTTTTAGAAGACATCTGAAGGCAGCCCTGTTTAGGGAAGTTTTTAATGTTTGATGTTTTATTGTGTTTTTAATATTCTGTTGGGAGCCACCCAGAGTGGCTGGGGAAACTCAGCCAGATGTGCGGGGTATAAATAAATAAATAATTTGCCTTAAACCCTGGAGAACCAAAGACAGTGTAGAAAATACTAAGCGGGAAGGGCCAGTGGTCTGACTCAGTATAAGAGTTAGGCCACTCTCACAATTCCCCCCTGCCCCAATAAGCAAAATAGTTGCCATTTTGTTCCTATGGGATGAGGTTGGGAACAGCCACAAGTTCACCATCAGCTGGGGATGCCTTGTACCACATCTGACCATCGGTCCAGCCCATCAGTTTGTCGACACCAGCAGCAGTGAGCTTGTGGTCCTCCAAATCTTGCTAGACTACAACCCCCATCGCCCTTGGCCATGCTGGATTGGGCTGGGGGGAACTGGAGTCCAGCAACACCTGGCCTACAGTGGCAGCAGCTTCAAGATCTTTTCCATCTCTGCCTGCAGATGCTAGGAATTGAACTAGGAATGTTTCTTCCCCTCCCATGACTTTTTTGATATTAATCACAGGTGAGAACATAGGCAGTTGCAGGGGTACCAACTTGAATAAAATATGGGGGAGAGGTAAGTCCCGGCCCACAAAATTGAACACATGATACAGCATGCATACACCATTTGAATGGCCATATCCATCAACTGGGGAGGAGGCCCCGTTCAAATTTTTACTGGGGGCTGAAGAGACCTCAGCCCCTAGGAGTTGGCTCCTATGGGAAGCTGTATTGTCCCAAATCAAACCTTTGGTCCATCTAGTCCAGGCATAGGCAAATGGCCCTCCAGATGTTTTGAGACTACAATTCCCATCATCCCTGACCACTGGTCCTGTTAGCTAGGGATGATGGGAGTTGTAGTCCCAAAACATCTGGAGGGTCGAGTTTGCCTATGGCTGATCTAGTTCAGTATTGTCTTCAGTGAATAGCAGCAGCTCTTCAAGTCCCAGGTTTCAGACAGGAAGTTCCCCAGACTTACCTGGAGATGCTGGGGATTGAACTCAGAACTTGCAGACCAAGCATGTGTTCTACAAACTGAGGGCATCTTGCTAGTAAATAATGATGCACTCACCGGTTCAATTGTTGTTTGTGTACTGATGGAAGAGGACTTTGCCTGGAGCCCTCGACATGCAACTTATTTTACATAATTTTTATTGTTCTTGTAACAAGGCCAATGAATACAAATTTGACATCTCCTCCCCCCCTTTTTTTTACGACAACGATGCTGAACACTCAATTACATATCGCATATATACCCTGCTTAGAACCTCTTTGCGACTAATAGCCTAGCTGGCCCTGTGGGAGATATTGCCAATACACATTGTATTAAATTTAATATAATCCTGCAGCATACATTACAGTTTACACTGTTACTTAAATTTAATTTGTATTAGGATGATTCATGGTTTGCAATGACCACGGCAGAAGAATACCAATGGCGAGTTTAGTACAGTTTAGCACCGGGCGATACTTTGGGAATAGATAAATAAAAAGCATAGCTTTTCTGACAAACGCCTTTGGCGTAATCACGGACAAGTAGGAATGTGACCTGTAACAGACAATGTGAAAAGGCTTGTGTTTTAACATCCTTTTCTAAGGTCACGGTTTTCTGTGTCTACTCCAGTCCATATTAGCTACAAGCACATGTTTTGATGGTGGAGAAAGCTCCTGGCATTTTAGATTGGTATTATTATTTTTTTGGTGTGTGTGTGTGTGTGTGTGTGTGTGTGGAGGAACTGTTCTTATTTGCAACTCTGAATATGTTTAGCCGCATGGGGCCGTCGCTCAGCAATTGTGTCTGTAAGTGGCCAATTTCTACCCGACCCCCAACCCTCCCCCCCCAGCCCCGATCAAGGGCAGATGAAAGGTCATGATTAAAACAGTGATTTGCCTTCAGTTTAACGTAACAGTTAGTCACTGTTTTATGCCAAGATGTCAAAACTCTATATTTTTGTGTGTGTGTGCATGAAAAGAAAAGGAAATTATAAGTTCTTGAAAAATGTTGGCAATTTTCCCAATGGCAGTGTTGAAATTTATTTTAATTATTGTACTTGTCTCGGTTCTTAGCAGGGGGAAAAGGAGGGGGGAATAATTTGGTACAGTATTATGTAGCTAAGGATTAAACAATTAATGGTGAGACCCCCGTATCCTATTAATACATTTGGATTAATTATTTCAACCGTTTGCTTTAAAAGTCAGTGGCTGGGGGTTGCATCCATTTTATTTTGTAGTAAAAACAAAAGCAAGGGTTTTCCCTGATAGGGATGAGCCATAGATGCTAGGAATGAGTTTGTAGGGGGCCCATGAGTCCCACATCGTAAGAACATGAGACAGGCCAATGGCCCATCTACCCTATAATCCTGTTCTATATAAACGTGCTCTCCCATCCTGTGACTTCCAGCAACTGGTATTCAGAAGTGCTACTCACTCTTACTATGGAAGCCAGTGCAGAGCCTTCATGGCTAGTAGTGTAGAGCCTTCATGGATAGCCCTCTCCTCCATGAATTTGTCCAGTTTTCTTTTAAAGACATGCACGGTGCTGGCCATCATCGCCTCCTGTTGAAGTGAGTTCCATTGTTTAGCCAGGCGCTGCATGAAAAAAGTACTTTCTTTTATCTGTTTTGAGGCTTCCAACATTTCGCTCCTGTCAGGGAACTGCCATCAGAACAGGGGCAGGAAACAGAGGGGCAGTTGTCTTACAGGGACCTCGACATGTTGCGTGTATAGGTCAGGGGGCTTTAGAAAAATACTCTGCACAGGTGCTCTGATAATTTAGTTTCCGAAATGTAGAAATCTACATTTCTGTATACTGAGATGGGGAACCTGCTGCTGTCCAGATGTTATAGGACTCCAATTCCCATCAGCCTAGCCTATATAACCAGTGGTCAGGGATGATGGGAGTTGTAGTCCCACAATATCTGGCTGGCCATGGTTTCCCCATCCCTGCTGTAGCCAAAGAGCAAATTCATCCCCCGAGTGTGGATTTTTATGTACCCAAAGCGTACACAAGATGGAGGTGTCGGCAAGCTTGTGGGAGGCCAAAAACATCATAGTGAGGACTTAGGATGATCAGAGGGCACAGCAAGTTGGGGTGCAGTTAGAGCTGGGGGTAACGGAAAACCATGGGGGAGAGGAAATGGAATGGACTATTCTGGAAGGAAGCATGGCTGGCTGGAACCCAGAACAGGAATGCTGCACACCATAACATGTTTATTTTTGCAGGTTCCACTTGTTCTGTCTGAACCAGGGTTTTTGCAGAAGCCCTGTTCAAGCAACTCATGCAGAGTAGAGAAGTCATTCAGCCACCAGGCTGGCGAGTCCTTCTGAGTTCTTCGATCTTTGCTATAATTCTCTGAAAGCAAGCTAATAAAAGTTCCTATTGACTTGCACTTGTGTGTGCTTTAAGCATTTATTTATAGTCTACCATCAGCAGATTAAAAATCAATTAAGGACCACAGAAAGAACCCAACTTACATATTTCTTCTCTCTTTCTTTTTTCCTGGTAAAGATTTCTCCCCCTAAAAGATTTTACATTAAATCTTGCTGCTAAGCATTATTGAGGATAATGAGCCAAATGCACTCAAACTCTATGTGTCTTTAATGCCACAGAAGCCCATTAACGTATTGAATTGGGATGTTTTCTTCAATGGAGTCCTAATGTTATCAACAGTCCCACTGAGTGAGGTTGCTCGTAGGGAGAGAGAAGGCTTATTTGCAATGAGTGCATCTATATAAGATGCTGCTATAAGCTGGACCCTTTGATTTCAGTGACTACAGATGCAGGTAAATGTAAAGTTAAAGGGACCCCTGACCATTAGGTCCAGTCGTGGATGACTCTTGGGTTGCAGCGCTCATCTTGCTTTATTGGCTGAGGGAGCTGGCATACAGCTTCCGGGTCATGTGGCCAGCATGACTAAGCCGCTTCTGGCGAACCAGAGCAGCACATGGAAATGCCGTTTACCTTTCCTCCGGAGCGGTACCTATTTATCTACTTGCACTTTGATGTGCTTTCAAACTGCTAGGTTGGCAGGAGCTGGGACCAAGCAATGGGAGCTCACCCCGTTGCGGGGATTCGAACCGCCGACCTTCTGATCAACAAGCCCTAGGCTCTGTGGTTTAACCCACAGCGCCCCCCCCATGTCCCTGCCTGCATTATATCTTTAAAGCAGCATCACACCAGAGTCTCCTGTGAAGAGGGGTTGATCACTGGGAACTGGAGCTCCATGAGAGGAACAGAGGTCTTCCAGCAACTCTTGGCACACTTTAAAAAAAAAAGACACTTCCCAGAAGTCTTGGGGAGGGAGCTGTGACTGTTCTAAGAAGTATCATGTTGTTTTTTAGTAGTTTAGTTGTGTCCGACTCTTCGTGACCCCATGGACCAGAGCATACCAGGCACTCCTGTCTTCCACTGCCTCCTGCAGTTTGGTCAAACTCATGTTGGTAGCTTTGAGAACACTGTCCAACCATCTCATCCTCTGTCGTCCACTTTCCTTGTGCCCTCCATCTTTCCTAACGTCAGGGTCTTTTCCAGGGAGTCTTTTCTTCTCATGAGGTGGCCAAAGTATTGGAGCCTCAGCTTCAGCTCCAATGAGCACTCAGGGCTGATTTCCTTCAGAGTGGATAGGTTTGATCTTCTTGCAGTCCATGGGACTCTCAAGAGTCTCCTCCAGCACCATAATTCAAAAGCATCCATTCTTCGGCGATCAGCCTTCTTTATGGTCCAGCTCTCACTTCCATACATCACTACTGGGAAAACCATAGCTTTAACTATACAGACCTTTGTCGGCAAGGTGATGTCTCTGCTTTTTAAGATGCTGTCTAGGTTTGTCATTGCTTTTCTCCCAAGAAGCAGGTGTCTTTTAATTTCATGACTGCTGTCACCATCTGCAGTGATCAAGGAGCCCAAGAAAGTAAAAAAAAGTAAAGAAGTATCATACTAGTGCTCTAAATGTGTTGTGTGAATATGGCTTTATACTGCAAAGTTGGAAGGAAATCCACCATCTACCACCCAGTGGTTTGAAGATCTCACTACCCTTTCTTACAGTGGCTTATAATTGTCAGTTTCATATAGATACCCTATTTGGACAGTCTGCACCTTTTAATTATGATTGATGGAATATTCTTATTCATATCAGCTGACAATGTTTTTTTAAAAAAACAATGTTTACTTTTTCTCATTATATTCAATGTTTTTTTAAATGAATAAATTGATGACAAGTGCAGCTCACATCCCTTTCAGAGCATAACATTTGCCTCCACAAGTGCTAGAAACTTATTTTGGGGGGAAAGGGAAAGGAAACTGGGCTGTGTGCCAAACGCCATATTTTGCCCTCTTTTTTAAAACTTCTGCATGTGGACCTTCTGCATCAGAACCTCTTCTTGATGTACCTTTTCCATGCGTCTGATCTGGCCTGGCAGCACCAGAAAGAGATGCACACAGGAAGTTCCTGGGAAGAAGCAGGGCTGGGATTTGGTAATTTCCTCTCCTGTTTTTTTTAAATTATTATTACTGTTAATTCACGTTCATGGAACTCCACATCTGTTTCCTTTTATATTCGAGATAAATCATGATTATGGAGAAGCCAACTTGTGAAATGAACTAAAAAAAAGTTTCGATTTTCCTTTCTTTTGGCTATCGCCATCCAAAGAAATCATCATTTGGGCAACTAATATTCCTAAGTATCCTCCGAAAGGACCAGTGATATATTGGAGCTGTTCAGATGTCTTCACAAATCATTTTGCTTTACAGCTTTGATCCTGAAATATGTGAAATGATGTCTGATTTATGCTGCTGATCCTTCTTTTAGATAGTTAAGTGTTCTTGCTTAATGTTATTAAATAAGTTCAAAGCTTCAAATAGGCCATCCCAGTCTGAGGCCATTTGAAAAATGGTCTTCCCGGCAAGCTATACTTGGTGTACGTGTTTTAGCCAACCCTGCCATTTTGTCTAGAGAACTGCAGAGTTTTTGTGGTCCTCTCCTATTTTTGCATCATTTTTCCTTTGCCTTGATGTACTTTCTTGTTAACATAGCCCTTTCCCCCCACATAGCAGCTCTAATATTCTTAACGTGCATAGGCAAGAGGCTAGTTCAGTCTTCCCCAACTTTGTGGCCTCCAGATGTTGTTGGACTACAACTCCCATTGTTCTTTTCCATTGGCCATACTGGCTGCGGCTGATGTAAGTTGAAGTCCAAAACATCTGGAGGGCCACAGGTTGGGGAGGCTGGGTTAGCCACTGTGAAGCACAACCTGATATGGGTTTTCTGGGCTGTGGGTGCTCTGACCATACCTGAATCTAAACCCAGGATAGGTGCTTTTCAAACCAAATATCCTTGTTGTCCATCACTGAAACTGAAGCTGGGGGAGAGGTTAACACCCTCAATCCTTGGTAGCTGAGAAGGTCCACCAAGGAATGGACAAATCATTCTCTCTCTAGCTCATGTCAGTTTTGCATACATTCATCCCCAAATCTATCCCATCCTGGGTTGTTGCCAATGTGAGTCATACTGATGAGCAGACTGATTCAAATTAATGCACATGACTAATTTGGGTTCATTCGTTGCAATGGATCTGCTCTGGGTAGATTTTTTTTTTTTTAAAGCATGAAAGCCTGTATTTAACAACATCTTTTTTTTCTATGTTCTCTCAAAATCTGCATCTCTAAATGTATTTTATCTCAAAATACTTTTTTCACACAAACATAGGTTTAAAAAGCAATTTTTGTTTTTGAACCAAGAACTGTGCTGAACACCACGAAGTGCAAAACTGGTTGGGTAACTTAAATTCTGATGTTTGGACTGGGAGATCTGGACCAGGTCAGTCAAGCGACCTCTATTATTATTTTTTATAAGATATTTATTAAGATTTTCAAAATATTACAAAATTAAAAAAAAGAAAAAGAAAAATACAAAATAAAAATAGTTAAAAACAATTCAGTCTTTCCATCACTTATCTTTCATTTGCTTATTTCCCGGACCTCCTCACGCCTCCCTTTTTTGTATTCCAATTCAGTTTGTTAGTTCAGCAAATCCCTCCCCTCTTTGTTTATCCTAGTCTTCAATCTTAAAGTATTGTAACATTAGATTTTTACCTATTAATAGTCCATTTTTTCATATTCCCTTATAACATTACAGCTAAAAAGCACTTAGTTTCTATCCAACATCATTCTAACATTCATTAATTTTACAATATTTCTGTAAATAGTCTTTAAACTTTTCCCAATCTTCTTCCACCGACTCTTCTCCCTGGTCTCGGATTCTGCCAGTCATTTCTGCCAATTCCATATAGTGCATCACCTTCATCTGCCATTCTTCCAAGGTGGGTAGATCTTGTGTCTTCCAATACTTTGCAATAAGCATTCTTGCTGCTGTTGTGACATACATAAAGAAAGTTCTATCCTTCTTTGGCACCAATTGGCCGACTATGCCCAGCAGGAAGGCCTCTGGTTTCTTTAGAAAGGTATATTTAAATACCTTTTTCATTTCATTATAGATCATCTCCCAGAAAGCCTTAATCTTTGGGCACGTCCACCAAAGGTGAAAGAATGTACCTTCGTTTTCTTTACATTTCCAACATTTATTATCAGGCAAATGATAGATTTTTGCAAGCTTGACTGGTGTCATGTACCACCTGTATATCATTTTCATAATATTCTCTCTTAGGGCATTACATGCCGTAAATTTCATACCTGTAGTCCACAACTGTTCCCAGTCAGCAAACATAATGTTATATCCAACATCTTGTGCCCATTTGATCATAGCCGATTTAACCGTTTCATCCTGAGTATTCCATTTCAACAGCAAGTTATACATTCTTGAAAGTATCTTTGTTTTGGGATCTAACAGTTCTGTCTCTAATTTTGATTTTCCCACCTGGAAGCCAATTTTCTTGTCCAAATTATATGCCTCCATTATCTGATAATAATGAAGCCAGTCTCGCACTTTGTCTTTTAATTTTTCAAAACTCTGCAATTTCAGTTTGTCTCCTTGTTCCAAAATTTCCCAATATTTCGGCCATTTGGCCTCCATATTGAGCTTTTTCTGAGCCTTTGCTTCCATCGGTGACAACCACCTTGGGGTTTTATTTTCAAGTAAGTCCTTATATCTTATCCAGACATTTAACAATGCTTTCCTAACAATATGGTTTTTAAATGCTTTATGTGCTTTAACCTTGTCATACCACAAATATGCATGCCACCCAAAAACATTATTGAAACCTTCTAAATCCAAAATGTCTGTGTTCTCAAGAAGCAGCCATTCTTTCAACCAACAGAATGCTGCTGATTCATAATAAAGTTTAAGGTCTGGCAGGGCAAATCCACCTCTTTCCTTTACATCAGTTAATATTTTAAATTTTATTCTGGGCTTCTTGCCCTGCCAAACAAATCTAGAAATGTCTCTCTGCCACTTCTTGAAACAGTCCATTTTGTCCAAGATTTGCAATGATTGAAACAAAAATAACATTCTTGGCAATACATTCATCTTTATAACAGCAATTCGACCTAACAAGGAAAGCTTCAAGTTTGACCATATCTCTAGATCCTTTATCACTTCTGACCAACATTTCTCATAATTGTCTTTAAATAGGTTTAAGTTCTTAGCGGTCATATTAACCCCCAGGTATTTTACCTTCTTAACCAATGTTAAACCTGTCTCCTTCTGAAACCTCTCTTTCTCAATCAGTGTTAAATTTTTCTCAAGCACCTTAGTTTTTAACTTGTTCAACTTAAATCCTGCCACATGACCAAATTCCTGAATCAATTCTAATACTCTTTTAGTACTAGATTCTGGCTCCTGTAATGTCAATACTAAATCATCTGCAAAAGCTTTCAATTTGTACTGTTTGGCTCCGACCTGTATACCTTTGATCAGACGGTCCCTTCTGATCATATTTAGCAGAACCTCCAGGACCGAAATAAAAAGCAATGGGGAAATTGGGCAGCCTTGTCGTGTCCCTTTCTCTATCTTAAATTCCTCTGTCACCACATTGTTAACTATTAGTTTAGCCTTTTGTTCTGAATAAATTGCACTTATACCATTTTCAAACCCTTGACCAACCCCCATCCCCTGCAGATTTTTCTTCATGAAACTCCAAGAAATATTATCAAAGGCTTTCTCCGCATCTACAAAAATTAAAACAGCTTTAGTATTAATATTCACTTGCAACATCTCCAAAATGTTGATTATATTCCTCGTGTTGTCAGACAAGTGTCTACCCGGGAGAAAGCCAGCTTGGTCTTTATGTATCTCCTCCACTAATATTTTTTTAACCTTTTAGCCAAAATATATGCAAAAATTTTATAATCCACATTAAGCAGGGATATGTGGCGGTAGTTCTTAAGTTGTGTCTTTTCAGACTCATTTTTCGGTATTAGTGTAATATAAGCTTCCTTCCACGACTCTGGCGCTTTTTCCCCCTCCAAAATTTCATTACTGTCAGGGAACTGCCATCGGAAGGAAGGGAGGTGAAAGGACTCAGACAGGTTGGAAGAGACTCAGCAGCGGAAGAGGGAACCAGCAAGGGGAGAGAAGCTGAACTGAGGGAGGTGAAAGGGCTCAGACAGGTTGGAAGAGACTCAGCAGCTGAAGAGGAAACCAGCCGGGGGCGAGACGGTGATCTGAGGGAATGGGAGCTGGGGGATGGCTCAGAGATACTTCCAGCGAAAACAGTGGTGAGGTTTCCGGACCTCCTGTAGGGACACCCACTCCTCGCCGGAAACTGTCACGCAGAGAGTCCAGAAGACGTGTTTCCGTTAAGGAGCTTTTATGTTGGAAGCGATTACGAAAGCAGCCACTGTCGGAATCTTCTAGTGACTAGAGGAGCCATGTCAGAGGGGCTCAGTCACAGACAGAGGCTTGTGGACTTGAACAAACTCTGAGGGAATACGATTTTACGCACAAGCAGCTCATCTTCCCATCACAGCATTCCGACAGTCTTTGAACGCAGCTTGTGCAGGAGAAGGCATAATGAGCAACCCAGCAGGAACCGGAGAAGCAGGGGCTGGAGCGGGTCCAAGCCTGGAAGAAAGGTACCGGGTGTTGGAGGTCCAGCTGGCGCTGCAGACGGCGAGGCTGGAGGAGAGGAGGGCTCAAGATGCAGACAAAGGGAGAAAGCCACCCAGCTCGCCAGAAAGGTACCAGGATTGGTGCAGAAATTTGGGGGGGAGCCCAAAGACTATCATAGCTTTCGGACAGAAATGCAATATGCCCTCAATCTGCAGTTTGATGATTTCCCTGATGAGGAATCACGAGTGGCTTTTGTGATTGGGCATCTTGAAAAGGGGGCGAGAGACTGGGTTAGACCCCTGATGGCAGCGCATAGTGACGTCCTAAAGGACACGATGAAGTTCTTTCGCGCCATGGATCTGATGTTTTCCAGCGATATTGAAAAGGGAGTGGTGCGCAGACAGTTAATGGCTTGCAAACAGGGGAGCCGATCTGTACGTGAGTACTGGACTGAGTTCACCATGCTGATACACAGATTGGGGTGGGACTTATCGGCGGAACCCATTCAAATGCTCTTTGAAGAAGGGCTTTCTTCGGCTGTGAAAGATGAACTTTCCCGGGCGCCCAGGGCGGAGTCTATGGACCAGCTGACCAAATCAGCGCTGGCCATAGGAGCGCGCCAGGAGGCGAGAGCATTGGAGAGGCGGGAAGGGAAAGGGGAACGTTGGAAGGAGTTCCGCATTCCAGACATTCCAGAGCCAACTTTCCCGCCGGCAGAGCCGATGGAAATCGGAACAGCGCGCGCGCGCAGTTTCAAAGCCCAGTGAGGGGGGGAAAAAGGAGGGAAAAGGCGCCCGGAAATGCTATCTCTGCCAACAGCCAGGGCACTTTGCCAGAGTCTGCCCCCAGAGGAAGGAATGGCAAGGGATGGTGGGAGCTGTGGAGGGAAGAGAGGAAAAGATACCGGAGCAACTAAAAGCCAACGCCTGGCTGCCATTGTCGGGGCACAGCAGCCAGGCCAAAGAGCAGTGAAAGTGCCCACGCCAGAACCTCCTAAACCCGCCCTAGTGATAGAAGTGACACTAGAGCTGCCAAACGGACACCCTCTAAAGATAAAGGCGCTGTTGGACTCAGGCAGCTCCTGCAATTTCATGAGCAAAGAGTTTGCAGCTGAACACCAGATACAGACGCTCCCTTTAAGCAAACCCCTGCAGGTAACCACGATCGATGGCAGGGAGCTGTTGGGAGGAGAAGTCAGCTTGCAGACCGTCCCAATGATAATGAAGGTGGCAAGGCACACCGAACTCATTGCGTTTAATGTGGCCACCTTGGGAGGAGCTCCCATTATATTGGGGATGAGCTGGCTAGCGTTACATGATCCGCTGGTGGGCTGGCATCAAAGAGTGGTTTCTTTTGGGTCAGCACATTGCTTAGAACACTGCAAAGAGGGAAAGGTTTTGGCAGGGGCCCAAGCCACCCTAGCAGGGACTGAAGTAACGGAGAACGTGAAGGTACCACGACAATACGCAGATCTCCGCGACGTCTTCAGCGAAAGGGAAGCTGACCAACTACCACCGCATAGAGCCTTTGACTGTCAAATCAATTTGCTCCCTGGGGCACAGCTCCCTGTGGGCAAGCTGTACGCCATGTCAGACAGAGAGATGCAGGAGCTAAGAGAGTTCATTGACAAGAACCTGAAGAGAGGGTTCATCTGAGAGTCCAGGGCGGGGGGGGCAGCCCAGTGTTTTTGTGGACAAAAAAACACGAACAAGCCGAGACTGGTGTGTGACTTCAGGGCCTTAAATGCAGTGTCAGAACCAGTGGCCTTCCCGATGCCCAGGATTGACGACATTTTGACAAGGGTGCGGAAGGGAAAGATTTTCACCAAGCTGGATCTAAGGGGGGCGTACAACCTGATACGAATAAGGAAGGGGGATGAAT